ACACACATAGGAAGTGGCAGAGCTAAGTCTCAAATGGACAGTGGAGACCATACACACTTTATGGCTTCCAGTATTGTGGAAAGGAGATCACAGTTTTCCAACTCTTGCAGGAAGCCACTTGCATCCTCCTTGAGACCAGCTGTGGCACTAAATAGATCTCAGAAATGACACTCCCCTGGGAACTTTTGGCCTGGAACATATTTACAAAACTCCAGAGGGGACAAAAATATCCCAACCTACTCCCTACAGACTCAAATTAGCAATTTTCTTATTCTTTATAACCCCTTTGGAAATTTAAACTATGTAATATTGGTCTAAAATTAGGAGCATAAGTCACAAGAGAAAAGTCCTACTACTTCACGAGAAAATGTTTTTGTAGCCTCATCCTGAGTATTTATTTGTTCTAAATCAGAACATAGCGGTTGTCTTTCAAATTTTTCTTTTTTCCTAAAACTTACGGATTCAGGGCAAAACCTTTTGAGAGAACCTCCACTGCCAAATGTCAAAATTCAATCTGTTTACCTGGCTTTGAGCTTGAGGATAATCAGGTAGGATCCAGAACACTTAAACTGTTTCGTGTGCCCAGGATTGCCTCCTTACATGGAGGGCACTTTAGTAACAACAGCAAAGACATTCTCTGCAGCCAACACTTACTGACTGGCTAAGATGTGCCAAGAACCTGTGCAATGTATTTTACGGCCATTATTACATTTAATCCTCACAATAACCCTATAAACTGGGTATTATTATCCCATTTTACATATAGGGCAATCAAAGCCTAAAGAGATTAAGAGATTGGCTAAAGCTGTATGGTTATAGAACCAATAAGTTGTGGAGTTAGAATTTTAACCCAAAACAGTGTGACTCTAAAGTCCACACCAAAATGCTGTCTCCAGTAACAACTGCCATTTACTGAACACATACTATGCGCTAGATACAGTCCTAAGCGTTTTATATAATAATCTCTTAGTCTCCGCAATAATTCCTCCCAGAGCTTTGGTCCATTCTTTTCCCTCATCCTGTAGCAGATACTCATACTAGCTTTGAGTCTGTCTGTCGCACACTTGGAGGTCCTCGTTAACCTGCTTGGCCCCGGAGGTGCTGTTAGTGTTGCCAAGAACACCCATGTGATCTAAAACGCCTTTGAATCAACCACCCCTAGTGGACTCCTAGGACTTTGGGCATGTTACTTAACTTCTTTGATCCTCAGGGTCCTCATCTATTAAGTAAATCTGTTGGCTCCTTTGAACTCTAATTTTCTAGAATTTTATGACAAATACAGGCCCTTTCTGGAAATGGGATGTAGGATATGCAGGTTTTGATACATGGGAATAAAAATGACCTTGAGATCTTCATGACCAGCTGAAGAAGCCCAGGCGAAGTTCCCCAAAGCAGAGGGCCTCTGTAGGGTAGGCAGTACAGGAGGCGTGGTGGGGGTGGATCCCGAGAGGGGGAGGGTATCAGTGTCCCCAAGCTGTTCATGATTGGGCCAAGAGACTGTGACCAGATTCCAGAGAGGAGGTGGCCAGAGCCCCTGGAGTACAGAAACTGGCATGTGTGACCCCAGGGGCAGAGCCAGGCCTCGGGATGGAAATCACCAAGGGGCTTAGAAGCGAGAGAGCTTCCATCCCTGCGGGTAGTTGTCGGGGTCTGGACAACCACTGGAAGCATTGCAGAGGGATTTCTACCTTTGGGGGTGTTGGCTTTGGGAAGCTGCTGACTTTCCAAACTGCAAATTCGATCACGTCCCTCTTCTGCATGGCAGCACTCTCTGGAGCCCAGCTGCCACGAATGCAGCCCCAGAGCGCTCCTTCCCCTGGACGGTGAGCCGCCTGCGGAGCCCTCAGCTGTGGGGCCATGCCTGTTCTCTCGCCACCTGCGGGACGCAGGAGTACGCTTACACTCCTGCGCCCACCCGCGTCCTCGCAAATCCTTTTTCGCATTTCCAGGCAGCTGTCACTTCTGCTGGGTTGTGATTGGTGATTCGCCCGCAGACGGTGCCCCGCGTGCGAGCTGGCCCTCGCTGCGCTCACCAGTGTGTCCCGGTAGACTTGACCGGAGCGTGGCTGGCCGTGTATTTAATGCCTGTGGTAGGAATGTGGGCGGGCCTCCGTGATGGCAGATGTCTTCCGAACTCCAAGGCCTGCCATTTCACTTCATTCAGTGAGCACCGAATGGAGGGCTGGGGACACACAAGTGACAGTGGAGCTAGCGATGCAAACAGAGACAGTGGCAGCCAGCCAAGACCCAGGCTGGGGAGGGGGAAGAGGCTGCCTAGCAACCAACAGGTGTCTTGGTCCTTGGCCCCTAACCCCAAGCTGTCCCAGTGAGTGTGTGGGGAAGCGGAATGGGAAAACACCAGGGAGGGGCATGGTGGACATGAGTGTCGGTTCTTTCAGGGTTTAGAATTAGGAGCCCCCGTCCCAACTCCCCAGGAGGTATTTCCAAGGGAATGGGCACGTGGGGCCAATTTCCAAGCCCCCTCGCCACCCCTTTCAGCAGCACCATAGTCAGTAGCAGATATCAAGGCAGGCCTGGCCCACAGAAGGATTTGCCTTCCATAGCCTTGAAGGCGCTAAAGAAAAGTCTTTGGAATCCAGCAGGAACTAAGAAACTTACCACACATGCCTAACCCCCTTCCCTCTCTTGTCCTTGGTGGAGCTGATATAGCCGTCCTGGCTTCTGTCCCCAAGCCTGCCACTGGGAATGTGCTGTGTGACACCGGCCGGCGCCGCCGCCTCTCTTGGGTTCTTGTTGCAGAGGCCCCAGTCTCCTCACTCTGCACCCAAATTTTGAAAAAGAAACCAGAAACCCAGGACGGCCCATGTTCCAGCTGTGGGTGGAGAACAGGCTACAGCCTGGCCTCTCCCAGGTGCCCTGCTGTCCCGGCCCCACACACAGCAGAGGCGAAGGGAGCCCATTCGAGGGAGGCGCGGGGTGGGGCTCTTGCGGGAGCCTGAAGCCCTTTTTTGACTCTTGGCCAAAGTTAATTTTCTTCCTATTTTTATTAATACAAATCCCTAAGCGTGTTTGTGTCCAGAGAAAGTACTATGAATAACTGATGATGCATTTGTTGATTAACGTGTGAATCATCCTGGGGGAGAGAGAGCCGGAAAAAGCAGCAGGAGCTTTGGAGGCTGAATATAATGTGTCGTAAAATATTTAGCAAATGGTCATCCAAGCCACAGGGAAATAGTCAGAGAGATGGGAATCTGCAAGCTGCCAGGATTTAAAAGCTATTTAATGCTAACCTCCAGTGCCAAAGAGCTGAGAGCTTCTCTCTTCCTCCCTCCACTGGCAACAACAGCTCCGACAATGTGGAAAGGCTGGGACGGCCGGGCTGAAAGGCTTTTTGTTTGAGGAACCTTGTAAACCAGGGCTCTGCACTTTGTCCATGGCTTGTGCATTCTCTGTCAAGATCTCCACACGGGACAAAGGGCCCGAAGACTCTAGTCAGTCATCTGGATGTTTCAAAACATCCTGATGTTTGGCATCGAGGAAGAAAAAAAGAGCCATATGACTGACAGAATTTGTCATTTTCCTTCCAAATGTTTTGATGTCACTTAGACAACAGCTTCAGTCTTTGGTCTCACAGTGACTTGGCTGTTTCTGTCATCCTAAGGGTTTGAGCTCAGAAGTTGTTTCTCCTAAAGGGTTGGGGATCCCACATTTTTAGGGCTGGGGTCAGGACTCACTTCTACAACCTGATTCTTTGGAGATATGTTTATTTTTAAGTCAATTATGGGAAGATCTCTTAATATTTTGGCTCAGAAGCCTCGAATCTAAAGTTATGTCCTCCAGAGTTTAAATACATACCATAAGCAAAATAAACGAAAGGAGAAGTGGCAGAGATGTAATTTAGGTCAGTGGAAATAACCGGCCCAGACAGCAGAGGCCTCAAGATACTTGGTTGTGCGCATTCTTCAGAGTCATAGTGTGATGACCTCAGGAGTAGCCGATTAAAGCCAATTTGGTGGCTTCAACCAACTAACCTAATTGTGCCAAGAAGGTTCCTGCCTTTAGGGAACTTAGAATCTATTTGCTGGGGAGGCGAGCGTTACATAAATGATACGGATAATAGCCTTTGAGTTCAGGAAAGTAAGAGATCTGGGGGCAAAGGAGTCCCCAGGAGGATGACAGGAAGAACCGCAGCAACAATGCTCCACGTGGGTAGGAAGCAGAAAGCAGCTCTTCTCCTTCATTCTTAGTTGTTGTCGCTCCTGCTATTTCGCTCTCTTAGACGCCTTTGCTCCTCCTCTCCACCCGTCCCACTCCAACACAGCCTTGAGGCCCACTTTAATGAATCCACAGATTCATGCTCGACGATTCCGATCTTCACTCTTTACCTCCTTTGAAGTCTTACGCACTTTGAATCTGAACCACTCATCCGGCACAGGATTCTACTGTGTACTAGAATCTGCTTGAAGAAAGATTAATCTTTTCTCCTCCATTCAACTGTACATTCTTTTTGGCAGGTGCCAAAACCTTAACACACGTCTGGGTTTCAGAGCTTCTAACCGCGCTCAGCATGCAGCCCACGCGGGCCGCCGGCTGGGTCGCACGCTGCGTGGGTCTCACTGGCGTCCCAGCAGCAGGCAGCACATGGGATAGGCTGCCGGTGGGAGTGGAAGACTTGGGTAGGGTGGTGGAAGAAGGCGGAATTCGTGGTAAGCCCAGGGATGTGCTGCCAAACTAGCACATCTGGGTTACAAAGCACATGCTTGGAACAGTTTTTAGTCGGGAAGTTCCCCTTCCTTCTTAGGGTGATCGTTAAATCAGCAGATGGAAGGTTCAGAAAAGTTGTAAATGGAGTGAAAAATTAATTTACTGAGAATGAAAGTTTATCAGCAGTTCCATTCACATTTTAAAAAATGCCAAAGGCGGCAAAAAGAAGGAAGGAAGGGAGGGAGGGAGGGAGGGAGGGAGGGACTGAGAAGAAAATAAAAGGGAAAAAAGCACTGGGTGGTGCTGGGCGGGTAGGGAACACACCAGACTCAGTCTTTACTATCAGCAGTTTCATAATATGGTAATTTTTAATATTAAAAGTAAATTGTAAATGTATCTTTATAAACAATATGCATAAAATAGATCATATTCTAAAACCTTTTCTTTTTTAAATGCTTTTTCACAGTAAATTTCTTAGGTGTCAGATTTTCCCTCAGGATAATAGTGCAGTCGGGGCAGGGAGCCGCGGCAGCGGGCAGGACCCGCTAATACAAGTCCTTGTAGATCTCCTGCAGGAGCGGGTGAAGACTCATGTCCGTCTCCGTCTTCTTTATCACCTGCAGGAGCTGCACGTGTTCCGTGACAATCTGCCTGAGGTCTGTCATTTTCTGGAGCAGCTTGGCGAAGAGCTGAGAGGACTCGGGGTGGTTCAGCTTGAGCTGGAGTTCCAGGGCTTGCAGCAGGCTGTCTTGTATGTCCTCGATGGGTTTTACATTCAGCAAGCCTGGGCGGTCTGGGGAGCAGAAATGGAAAATATGACAGGGGGTTCAGTCAAAGAATCCTCTGGGCCACACCTCTGCGGCCTGTGCAGCCATCGTGTGCCGGGCCAAACCACTCAGGCGTTGTTTGTTTGCTTTGTTTCTTAAATAGGGTGGGGATGGAAGGTAAGCTGGTCGCGGGCAAGAACTGAGGATGGGATGAACACCAAAATGATCAGAGCTCTTCCCAGGGGCTTTAACTGCACAGGACCCAATCTGTGTGGTTAGCTGATATGACATGGCATCAAAATAACCCTGTCCCCAAACTGAGGCCTCACGTTTCTACTCAGAAATCTGATTTTTCAATCTCTGCTCCTTCCCGACAAATTTGTGTTTTATAGCTTTTACCTACTTTCTTACCACAGCTTCAAAAATGCTTAAGAAAAAAAAATATTTTCTTTTGCTTTATTTGCTTAGTGTAGCATATTTCATTTCAACACGACAAAACGTAGTTTTTAAGTACTGACACAGTTCAGAAGGATATACCCCTAACATTTTATTTTATTTTGAGACAGAATCTCACTCTGTTGCCCAGGCTAGAGTGAGTGCCGTGGTGTCAGCCTAGCTCACAGCAACCTCAAACTCCTGGGCTCAAGCGATCCTCCTGCCTCAGCCTCCCGAGTAGCTGGGACTACAGGCATGTGCCACCATGTTCGGCCGACTTTTTCCATATGTTTTTAGTTGGCCAATTAATTTCTTTCCATTTTCAGTAGAGACGCGGTCTTGCTCTTGCTCAGGCTGGTTTCAAATTCCTGACCTTGAGCAATCCGCCTGCCTCAACCTCCGGGAGTGCTAGCATTACAGGTGTGAATCACTGCCCCTGGCCAACCCCTAACATTTTAACAGGTTTCTTCTGAGTGGTAAGATTACATGTAGATAATTTTCACTAATTTTTCTTGTTTCACTAATTCTTGTTTCAATTCGTGTATGGTGAGCTTAAATTTTAAACTTTTTCTGGTTTTCTTCATATAGATCTTGTTAGATTTATTCTGAGATACTTTAATAGTTTCTATTGCAAATGGACCCTTCCTTTTTATTACATCTTCTGACATATCCCTGCTGATACTTAGAAAAATTATATTGGTTTTACTATATTGAATCTATTCTAATTTTCTGAACTTTTGTCAGCTCAAATAGTTTTTAATCATGGATTTTTACTTTTTGGGGGTAGACAATTACATCTGCAAATATAGTGGTAGAAAACGAGAAATACCACCACTTTTGCAGTGTTCATACTTTTCGTTTCCTTTCCTTGCCACACCGTGTTGGCTAAAACCTCCAATGTGCTATTAAATCACGGTAGTAATAGCAGGCATTCTTGTTCTATTCCTAACTTTGCAGGAAATGCTTCTAATGGTGCTTCAGCAGTATAATGTTTGCTATAGATGTTTGCCAAGGGTATGTTTTATTTCTGGCTTTCCAAGAGTTTTAAAGTTTTTAATTTGTTTTAGTCAGGAATGTTGTTGAATTTTATCAAATGCTTTAAAATTTTTCTATCTAAAGAGATAGGCTATCTAAAAAGAAAGGATTTTTATCTTAACCTTAGTATTTTTAATTATATTAATAGATTTCCTTACACTCTTGCACTCATTTGCTAATATTTTATTTAGGGTTTTTATATTTGTAGATGATTAGCCTAGAGTTATTTTATTGTGCCATTTTGTGCCTGTTTTGGTAATAACTGTTAACTAGCCTTACAGATGGGATTGAGAGGTTTCCCTGTGTCTGTGCAGTAGTGACCTGTTCCCTGATGTTTTCTTAGAATCCATTTGCAGAACCATCCGAGCTTGCTGATAAATATATCACTGCCTTTAATTTTTCTTCCATGGCTTTTAATCTATTCAGGCTTTCTACTACTTAGTAATTTATATGGAATGAAGTTGTATATGATATTGTCTTAGAATCTGAAATCTATTCTTTTTATTTTATTATTATTTTAAAATCTATTATTATTATTTTTATTAACGCCCCTTAACGCTATTTGTGTATTCTCTCATTAAAAAATCTGATTGGTCAAAGGTTTCTCTATTTTTTTGCTTTTTAAAAAGTATAGCTTTGGTTTTATTAGTCAACTCTTTAAAAACTGGGTTATGTTTTTAATTTATCTAATTCCTTCTTTTTAACTTTCTTTAGGTTTACTTTATTCTCTTTTTTAGTTTTTTGAGTTGAATGCTCAATTCATTTCGTCTTGGTATTTCTTGTTTTCTAATAAATGCATCTGAGGCTCTAAAGTTTCTGTTAAGTGCCAGTTTGTTTTATCCCCTGGGCTTTGATAAAAAGTACCCTTACAGTTCTTCTCTAAACAGCCTGTCTTACAATTTTGATTTCATTTTTAACCCAACAGTTATATAGAAGCATGCTTTTAAATTTCCAAGTAGAAAGTTTGGGTTTGTTGTTGCCTTTCTCACAGTTGCTGTGTTGTAATGAAAACCACTGATGCTTCAAGGAAAGCTGGATCCCAGATCGGTGCCTGTGGTTTAATGATTGCCAATCCTCCTTCTTAACAAATGTTTAAGATCTCAAAGGCCAGGAGCAGTGTGAGTGCTGTGCCTCTGAGTGGCGGCTACTTGGGTAAAGACAGGTGTTGAGAGAGGCTCTTCCAGGGCTGGGACCATACCACCGGTGTAGGACTGCCTCTCGATCACTGGGCACTGGCTCTGTGAGCCATTTTTCTTTCCCCTTCCTTTTGAGCAGCATCAGTGGGGTCAAAACTTCTGCTGAAGAGATGATGTTAATCCACTAGGTCTCATTTATCAAACAACCAAACCCTAAATGCAACTGATCAGGCTTGCTGGAAACACTTGGCTTAGTGCAGTATAAGGGAACTGGCCCCTCTAGGAGCAGAGAAGGATCTGGTTTGGATTTTCAAACCCCTTCTTTGGCAAGTTATTCTTTATGATATGATGGATGAAGTTTGGCTGAGGGGCTGAAGTTCTGTGGCCATGGATTAAGTGCATTTTCTGCAATGACAAGTTAGATCATTCACAGATCAGTCCCACTGTCCCCCTGACTCAGCCTCTGTCAGAACACAGTGGCTTAGGAAAATAGGGCAGCAGAGGGGAAGTCACATATTCTACTTCTAGGGCTTTCCCTCACCAGCTCCGTGACCCTGGGCCAACTGATGAAGGTCACTAGGCTCAGTTTTCTCCTCTGTAAACTAAATGGATCAGACTAAATAGGTAATCTCTAAGACCCTAGTTCAAAAGTTCTAAGACTTATTATTTGTAATTTCCTCTACTTAATTCAATGGGGGAAATAAACCCTAAAATCTAATTGAAAAGGTGTATTAACAGGCTCACACATTAAACTTAGAACATGTGGCTTATTTAAAAAACAAAAAAGCTTCCTTTGGTCTTTGGGTTTTTGTTTGTTTGCTTGCTTGTTTTTTGTTGTTTTTTTGAGACAGGGTCTTGCTGTCTTGCCCTGCCTAGAGTGCTGTGGCACCATCACAGCTCACAGCAACTTCAAACTCCTGTGCTCAAGAGTTCCTCCTGCATCAGCCTCCTGAGTATCAGGGATGACAGGCATGAGCCACCACACCTGGCTAATTTTTAAATTTTTTGTAGAAACAGAGTCTTGCTTTATTGCCCAGGTTGGTCTTGAACTCCAGGCCTCATTCCTTTGGTCTTAAGCAAGCCCCAAAGTCAAGGGCAAAAGAGATTTTCCAGTGTTGTTCCCTACCTCTACTCTCAGCTGGCTACAAGGCCTCCCCTGCTCCCCTCTCCTTTCTTTCTACTTTCCTCTCCATGCATGCCCAGACCTTAACTTGGCTGGCTAGGTGCCACAGGTATGCCACTGAACTCTGTCCAAACACCCAGAGCTGTCCCCTTCCTCTCCACTCCCCATCAGCCCAGTGTCCCCAAAGATACTCTTTTTAGAAGGTCCATCTGAGAGCCTCTTCCTGCACCTTGCTGCAGGTTAGAGTTGACTTTGGAGGATGGTCAGGGCCAAAGGCCCTCTTTGCTGGACTGGGTTGCCTAGAAGGCGCTTTGAGGAAGTGCGTGTCGACTCACAGACTCCAGGACTTAGCTCTGGAGGAGGCTGGAGTTAATTATTGGTGCCTTACTCCCCAGGCTGCTAAGAATTGGGAAAGAAACCTTTCCGGTCTCCATCCACACAGTCCTGGAATTGATTAGAGAGCACTGGTGATTATGAGCAAATCTACAAAGCTTCCATCTTATCCAGATCTGGTACTGTTAAGTGGAGAGCTTATCTCAAGCAGATTCAAAATCTCTGACCCTCTTGGGATCTGCCCACCTGGGTAAGGAGTTTCCCTAGCACAGATTTTCTCAGGAAGCACTCAATTGGGAACCAGACAGCCATGGCAGAGTCTCCTAAGAAAAGGCAGAAAACCAGAAATAGATTGTTTTGTCTTTATTCTAGGAGCTGCTGTCATGGCTTCCCCATCTTTCCCTACTGGCTCTCTGATAGAACTAATCTGAAACGGATTGTACCCAGAGCGTTTAGAACAAACAAGTCTGATTGCAGGGTAGCTGTAAACTGATCCATAGGCAACAAAAGACCTTAGTTCAGGTGTGGGGTGAAAACTGAAGGGGAGGTAGGGCTATTTAGGGAACTCAGCACTTTGCAAATTAACTTCTTTTTATACTTCTCTAATTTTCTTTATTGCATTCTTCCCTAAATTCAGAGATATGTCTAAGGAGCAGTCCATTTGGACAGTGAAGATTGGATTTGAGTGTGTCTCTTTTCCACTTTAGTTTCTATGTGCCTTTGGACAAATCCTCTAATCTTTCTGGTTTTGGGCTTAATTTTTAGACACTGATGCCATTTTTTCCCTAAGGTCATGGTGAGAATGAAATAAGTAAAGAAACTTTAGAAAATATTACAATTCTCTGTGTTTGTTCAAATAAAGGCTGTTTGGGGTTGGGATCAGCAGTGCAAGCAGGGGTGGGTGGCATAAAACAGGAAATGGAAGGTTTTTGAGTTGTTCTTGGTAGGAGCAGAAATTAAGGAG